ACGTCAAACGTTCAATTGAAATCGCAAGAGTTATCTCCCCCAGTGTGTTGTACGTCTTTAATTTCATATTATTAACCCTTTAACGGCCAGAGATTTTGCTATTTTTCTGCATAATTGCCTTAAAAAGTTCAAATAGAATTTTAGACATTTTCTAGTCACTTTTACACAGAGCAACCTATATATTTTCTGAAAGGTAAGATCCTAAAGTATTTGATTATGCAGAGTAATTTGACGTCACGGTTGCCATGGCAACGATTGAGACCCATAATTGCCAAAACATGTGCTTTTCTCCCTTTATTCGTCCCTGAAATACAAACAATTTTACAAATGATGTTTCCAAACCAGAGGATTTGGTGTTACTATTAAAACAAAGCATGCATTCAATTAGTTTTTAGTTTTACTGGTCAATTCTATTTACTAGAAAGAGTTTATACAATTACACGATGCCCGTACGTCATCCATTAGACTCCGGCTTTACAGCTATTTGATTGTCGTATATTACAAGCAATTTTTGAATCGCTCTCCCTCCTACAGTTTTCTTAACTGTTTTCAATAAAATTTGGTACACATGTGCAGCATACAAAGATGCACATTTTTTTTTAATTTTAGTATTTTTATTTCAAGGAACAGTGTTGCCATGGTTACAAAAATAGCAATTTTGAGAAGGAGGCTTCCTAACAAATCATGGGTATTATACCGGTATATCTATTTACTTTCAGTAGTGTTATCAATGAATAAAATTACAAGCCTGGTTACAGCGATCTGCATATAAGAAGTTTTAGATGACGGCCATGGGCAGAGTATGACAAAGAACTATGCACACTAACTATCGTTTCCAGCCTACATTTTACATAAACATATATTCAATAAAAAAGACATTTTTGCCATTACTTTTTTTAATTACAAACATGAATTAACTTATGAATGAATTATGATATTAATACCAGTGTCACATTGTTATATGTTTGCTCTTAATTACAACTCTTTGTATATAAATGAAGGGGGGGGGGTATCATATATATATCCACTTTATTATTAAGTTAAACATCATCAGATTTAAAAATAGTTTTCATATTTTCATTTCTCATGGATATGGATAAATGATCCTTCATTTTTTCTCTCAATTTTCACATTACTTCACTAATGTTAAATTTTTTTTTTATCAGTAAACATACCCCCAGCTGTTTGTCTACATCTATGACGAAGAACGTAGTACCTGGGCTAGTATTAAATGTAGCCAAATTAAAACTTACAGCTGATTTTAATCTGATTGATCAATATAGTTACATGTACCTGGGAGTATGTAATTGCAATCGGTAGCATATGCATAAAGAAAAATTCAAAAATTTTTGCATCGGGATTAAAATAAAAAGACTTACAGTATTAATACGAGTTCACATGACTTTGAATCTTTTTACTGGTCTCACTATTATGCATGCATGAATTTAAATTTGAATTTAGACCATTCCACTTTTCCTTATGAAAGTTTTACCAAGTACTGCACATGTCTTCCATTTCATGATTTATCATCACCTATGATCCCCTTCCCAAATCAATTATCGATGCAAATGCAAAATGAACACCAACTAGCTGTGACATGTAGCATCTACAATAAATATTCCAACCAGGGGGCAAGTAACTGTTTGATCCCCTTTATATCCATTACCCAGAGTAATCCTTTATCTCTATTTACTAAGAGACGGGAAGCATTGTTATTAAAATATGTGTGTGTGTGTGCATGGAGGGGGGGGGGGTGTTACCTATGAGTAAAAAAGGAAACGAAACGTAGGCATGGAATGTAAATAAAAATGGAGGTGGCAAATGGAGCAGCCTTTGAAAATGTCCTTACTAAAGAAATCCTAAAAGACTATTCTCGTGTGTCAACCTTCCAAAGAAAAACTGAGTGCATCACGTTCAGTCCAGTTTGAGTCACAATCTTAATCATGTTATCTTTGCAGGTATATGTATCTGTTTAATTGCTCAATCTACTGATGAGCCTGCATGGCGCAATATAGATGAAAGTTTGAGTTTTTTCATTTAAATTTGGATTTCGTTTAATTGTTATAGATCGATAGATCTACATGTATATATATTTTAGGTGGTAATATCAGTGCAGGCTTATGCAAAACAAATTCACCGAACTCTTTTTTCAGGGACCTAAGGTAAAATAAATGCACTGGGAACAAAATGTTTAGATGACAAATACTTCGCATTTTCTAGTGCAAACCTGGTGTATTTCTAATCACGGCCAAAATCCACTTTCAATCTGGAGGCTACAGGGCAGTACAGGCGGACTCTGGACTGTGGCTTGAGTGTTGATTATCGATGTACTTATAGATATTCAGAAAGAACGCGTTTATAAATTAATAGTTCATAGGTGACATACAGTCAAACCTGTTTTAAGAGGCCACTTGTGGGAGAATGACAAATTGGCCACATAAGACAGGTGGCCACTTATTCCAGGTTTCAAACCAATGAATAAAAAATTGCGACCACAGTTGTATATTTATTCTCGCACGTATCCAAATCCACATATTTATTCTAATGTATTTAACTCCACAATTTCAACACATTTAAAAAAAGTTTTAAAACAAGAAGTTTTAAGTCACATGAAATCCCTTTTCTAATATTTCATTTTACATGAATTTCTAAAAGAAATCTGTTATAGTTTTTTTTGTTTTGTTTTTTTGTGTGTTGGTAATTTTAATTTTACAGCCATAGAATTTACCGGTGCCAGACAACTCACCGACAGACAGGTCACCGACAAAAGTGAAATTCGCCGAATGGACAATTCACCGACAATAGTGTCGGCGAGTAGAAATTCATATAAAATAATTGTTAGATGTATTCAGATACATGTATAATAATTTAAAACATGATCAAAGATGTATATAAAAAACGTTTTTCTTTGTCTTTTTTTGTATATCCATCATAATGATTGTTGGTCTTACGCATATGTATAGATTGCTTCTCGTGAATTCGAGCAAGGTCATAGGTCATTAAGCTTTTTAGTTTTTCTAGATATGCATTATTTTTATAACATAAAAGGTTATTCACAAGACTGGCTGCTTGACTTGATAATATTAGGCGAAATTGTAATTAATGTATTGAGTTTATATCATGAACATATTCAAAAACCTTACCTTCGTATATATTAAGAACACCAAAAACATTATTAACATTAAATCATTTAATCATATTAATTGAATCATTAAATCCTGACAGAATTCAAATTAAACCTGCAATTATTGGTCAGTAGTATAAGGGGTCCCGATAGGACCGCATTCTGATTGGCTGAGAGAATCACGTGATCAAAAAGGCTGGATTCTGATTGGCTGAACCCCTAACCCTAACCCTAGCCCTAGCCCTAACCCTAACCCTAACCCCATAGCCCTGACTGACCCTAACCCTAACCCTAACCCTAATCCCCTTAACCCTAGCCCCCCTTACCCTAACCCCCTACCCCTAACTAACCCTAACCCTTATCCCTATCCCTAACCCCTAACCCTAACCCTGGGCTAGGTGGGTCAGTATATAACCCCTAAATATGGTGTTTACACTATGTTTACATTTTACTATATACGCTGCTACTACGATTCACAACGTTGCTACTACGATTTTTTGGCAACGATTCAAGAATGTCATTATGACGTCACGCATTCATTCACAGTCTAGACTAGACCCTATAACCGGTTTGAACTGGATTTCCTCAAAACACTAACAAAAGACAAAACAAAGAACACAGATTTTATTCAATTTTTTACATCTCTTCTTCTGATGATGATGATCTATCCTCAATCACTCAGTTTAACACCCCGATGTCCTTACTGTTCCATCATTTCTTTAATCTGGGTAAAGGGGATGCGACAAAATAGATACTGTGTATAATTTTCTTCTTTCTTGGTCCTCATTAAATCTTCAATGCACTCTTCTAAATTCATGTACCAGAGACCTTTAGCCAGAGTTCCAAGATCATTTTGGATCTCCCAATTGTATTGCTGATAATGATGCTTTGTTTTCACCCTCACTCTAGATCCTGTTAGGCGGCATGGGATTTTCACTCTTTTTTCCAGCCACACTATTTTTTCTGGAAAGATTTTTACAAGAAATCCCTGGTTAGCCAATGATTCTTTCCTGAAATCCTTCATGAATTGTCCTGGATGATTTTCAAAGTAATCCATGGCCACTCCCAGTTTAGTTTTCATCCAAGATCCACTCTTGTCAGTATAATCCTCAATAAACCAGCGATACCTTGTTTCCATACCTCTGACTTGATCACTGAAACTTTTTTTTTTTTTACCTGTGTTCACTTCCAAGTACTCACACAGAATGATCCATCATGTCCAGCTCTGGTTTATATAGCATGGATTTTATTTTAGGGGCCGTGTGCAAAAGAAATATACGTTTTACCTACGTTTTCTTATATACCTGTTTGCATCCTCTATAAAGTGCCGTGTGCAAAAACATAAGGGTCGTGTGCAAAAGAAATATACCTTTTACCAGTGTTTTCCTTATATTTACCTGTTTGCACCCTCTGTAAAGTGCCGTGTGCAAAAAACTTACCTATACATTGTGACGTCATTCACTGTATAAATACAATGTGATTATGACGTCACACTTTTTCATTTACAGTCTAGACAGCCTAGTCTAGCCAGCCTAACCGGTTTGAACTGATTTTTTTTTTACTGAAAGACAATAACAAATAACACACAATACAAAAAAAACATGTGTGTGTTATGTCTGTCAAGTTATAACACCAGGTCACTTTTTTAAAAAAAAACTTAGAATTTCTTTTTAAATTTTTTAAACTTTTTTTAAAAAATTATAATTTTTTTAAAAACTTTTTTAAAATAACTTAAATTTTTGTTTTCGTATTAATTTTTTTTGGTAAACTCCCCTTATAGTTTTTAAGAAATAAAATAAAAAAAATCATGTAATACTACATCAGTGTTATGTTATTGTATGACTTCATCTTTTATACAGTCGGGTTCGGGGTTTCGGGCGGCCATAGCGAATTTCGGCAAGATTTTACCCCAGTGAAAAAGGCTTGTAATTTACCCTGTAGGTCTTTTAAAGTTGTTTCACATTGTTTATGATTGTGATTATGTTATCGCTCACCTATATGTTTAATGTCAGCTATGCTAAATAACCCAGTTCTGTGTAATTTGAGAGAATGTTTTGACATGTGGTTAAAGTATGGCGTGCTATTCATGTTATCATTTAAAAAGTCGATCCTAAATAAATCTGTCTTAAAAAAATACATTTTACGAATGACATTTAATATGATTGATTAGAGTATAGGTATCCATATATAAGAGATATTATTTTGCATTACATTTAAACATGTTTTTCTGTCCTGTTTGTCTGTCAATTGTTGCTTTACTTCCTTTGTAAAATGAGGTTAATTGTGTATCACTGAATTGTATGAATTTTTTTTCAGGATCAGCTGAGATGTTATTTCACTGAATTATCTAATGGATAGACTTATTGGGCATATATTTGGATAATTCTGGTAAGTTTGTCTTTGTTTTGTTTACATTTCCTATGAAGGTCATCTTTGCATTTAATCATAATTATGTAAAGTTCTGTTTTGAATGTCAATGTACTGTATTTATCCTCATTTCATGTGATTTACAGTTGTACATGTATAACCTGCATGTAACTCAGAGTGCATTTAATATTTCTATGATGGATCATTCCATGATATTGAATTTAAATCAGAAAAATGTTCTCTAAATTTTGGTAAAATACATGCCATCTTTTACATTTCTGTCCCTTTTGTCTGTAAATTATTGCTTTACTTACATTGTAAAACGAGGTTAATTGTGTATCACTGAATTGTATGATTTTTTCAGGATCAGCTGAGATGTTATTTCAATGGATTATTTAATTGTTGACTTATTGGGCATATATTTGGATATCTCTGGTAAGTTTGTCTTGTTTTTTAGATTGTTTACATTTCCTATGAAGGTCATCTTTGCATTTAAGCATGATTATATGGTTAATTTAATTACTGTGTAATACTTATGTGATCTGTTGTCTCTAACTTACATTCATATAAGCACACCCTTATTTAACCTAAAATATATTAACACATGATTAAGGGATCTTCAGAATATTAATAAGTTCTTTTGTATAAATTATATGATTTAATTTCATAATTCATTATGTATGTTACCCATGGCCATGGAATTCAGACTTACTAAATGGTGATCAAAGAGATATTAATTAGGAATCTAATTAGAGAAATGGAGGAATTTACAAAAGATTAATCCTAAGTTATTTACTTTTTGTTTTGATTCTAAATATGTGGGATATATGGCATACATATATTTTCATTTTCAATTTTGTTTCTTAGTAATGAGCTTTTCAAAAAATGAAGGACTACATGTTTTACTGTGATGATGCTAAAAAAGATGTATTTTTCTGTATGCAGCACTGACAGATATTTAACAAAATTGAATCTGCTGTTAATAAAAAATCTTTTAGTGTCTAAATAATTAATTTGATAATCATTTTATTTGTGATATCAATACAGTAATTGTGCTTTTTTTTTACTATCTAAAGATAACATGATGAACTTTTCTCATCTGGAGTTAATGTTAAAAACAATTTGTTTTGAGATTAAAAACAAACATTTTCATGAACTTTTTTTGGCATTGTACATGTTTGTTCAATTTTTAAACATGCATTGTTTCACACAGTACTCTGTCATATTAACAAAATGGTTTTATTTTCTATACAGTCCTCAACCTGGAAGATATGTATTGTTCCTAACCATCTATAATCCATTCTCTATGAAGTTCAGACTGTCTGCTCTTCCTTTGGAAATACACAGTTAGTCAACCAACAAAGAAACAAACAAACTTGAAGGTAAAGTTTCAATGAAATACAATTGTAATTTTTATTTATTTATTTATTTTACATATGCATGTTTATATTTTTGAATTGATAAGTAAATGATATATGATTTTTTGTTTTAAATAAAAAGGGCTTGGTGGTCATGGTCATGTTTAAACTCTATTGATAACCTTTAGAAGAAGAAGAGCTCCATTTCAACATATAAATATATACAAAAATGATCAAATTTTGAAACTAAAATGTATGAAAGTTTTCTTTGCCAAATGATAGTTAACAGCTGAAGATAGCATATCTATAGAATAAGTTAAATATGGCTAATTTGTAAACCCCCCCCCCCCCCCCCCAGCTTCCTTAATATCATAGTTGGTAAAGATAGCAAGTTTTGACTCCAATTGCTGATGAATTCTGAATTTCCCATTTAATATCAACATTATATCACAGGGAAAGAATACTATAATGTAGCACATCAGGATGACCAGAAAAGAAATCTTAATGACCCTCTTAACTATGTATAAAGACTGTAACCTTATAACTGATGTAAGATAATCTGATTGTGTGGAATTAAAATTCCCTGGTGTTTCTACTACCCAAGATCTTCTTATGAGTGCATGGGACTGTTGTAAACCTTCTCCTGTTTATAAAAAATATACCTTGGAGCATGACACTTTATTCATAAAATCTACTTTCAATATCATTTCTATGAGTTTTTATTCTTTCTTTTTAATAATCTAGTGTTATATCTCATTTAAACCCATTAATATGTATGCTTCCAAAATCTTAGATCTGTCTGTATAGTTTTTTCAGCTCTTTGAACACAAATACCCTAATTCAATCTTTTGAGGTAAACATGATAGAGACATCATAGATGATTATCAGAGTGTGTATCACAATCTTAACCATAAGGTCAATTTAAATGGTCTAAGGCACAACAAATGAAAGTGAAAACTTATTATTTTTTTTTTATTAGAATACATAATTTTGTAATAAACAAAAACTGGAAAAGTTACTCTCATAATAAGCCTTAATGTCCTCCAAGAGTTCAGTTTGGACTTTTTCCATTAATCCTTGTATCTTCTCCAATGGTTTTGTGGGCTAAAATTCATGTGTCTTTAACAACATTTTTTCTGACAACTGTTTTCTCTTATTATCTATAAACTTGACTTCTTCTCTAGTCAAAGGTCTTTCAGGGTAATCCAAGTAATTCTTACCCTCTTTTGGTAATAAATGGTTATATTCCTCATTGGCTTCTTCTGCAATCAAGGGTCTTTCTATGTAATCTCTGACAACATTAGGATCACCCTTCTCTGGACTTAATTGGCTATATTCTTGTTGAGAAATGATCTCAATAGTGCCATCTTTTTTATTTTATTTGGTATACCTCTGTCTACATCTTTCTCTAAAAGAACTCTCTCTCCAAACTGAATTTTACTCATTCCTTTACTCTTTTCTTTACTGGAGGTGTTACCCATGGTTAATATGGAAATTCAAATTCTGATGTTACACCTTGTATTTATACCCTTTTTGTCTATATTTAGAATTCCATCAAGCTTATATTATATAACATTTTTTTTTTCAACTAAGACATTATTTTTTTCTATTTTCCAGGATTCTCTAGTGAGGGCTTATGGAAATGATCTATATCTACTCTCAGAATGGTGAAAGACTATCAGATTAAGCAAAGACTAACAGAATATCCTCTCTTGGAACACTGAAACAAGAAAATCAAACAGGAGATGAATGGAGATCATAGATAAATATGATTTCCAACCAATTTAACCAGTATTATCATAGACTGTGGTTTACAGGATGACAAAGAAAGGACCCAGGATTGTATCTTTTTACTGTCAGACACTGTCTATGGATAAGATGTAGCTATTTATCAGACTGAGATCTAGTCAAATCAAGTACAATTGTATTGAAAACATGATTTTCTGATAGCATGAACTCTTTGAAAATTAATTCTCACGGACTTCAAATTATCTAAATGTGACTTTTATTTTTACCAATTCCTATTGAAGACAGTTGTTGTATATGAGAAGTATACATTTAAACCTTTTATTTTGCATCTTATTTCTATAACCCCCCCTAGAAATTACACAGATATTCAGATGCTAGATTTAATGTTATTATTACTTTCCTGGAAATGTAAATATATTTTGTTTGTGTATGTATCATGTTTAATTTTGAATTTAAAATTGGTCTGAATAAGACCCCCAATAAAGATGCAAGTGTCCCATAATCTGTGGTTTAATAATATCTTGAATATCTTTATCATACCATATTCATCATACTAATTACATATAGAATGGTTGTAGGAATACACTTTGTTGTTTAGCACACTTTGTTGTTTAGCACACTTTGTCAAGGTCAAAGCATAAGATTATTGAGATGACTTCTTTGACAATAATTTGTAACTTACAAACTTCACATCATAAATACACAGATGAAGAATCAATAAGATATTTCTATAGATTTTTTGGATCATTTACTCCTGGGTAAAAGTTAGTTACTAACTGAGATTACTGATTTGAGTCCTGTAATGCAATAACTTAAACATTGTGTGATAACTTATAGACTTTATAAAAATTAGGTGCAAATTCTTAGGAAAGGATTGAAATGTTAATCAAATGTACAATGTTCAAGGGTGTTTATATGACTATTACTATGTAATACCTTAGAATTCTGTAAAAATTTTATTATCACTGCGTAGATAAAGACTGGTTGGAATAATTTATGTTTTGAAATAAGGTTTAGGGAAAAAAGTCAAGAATGTGGATATGACTTTTATTCAAATGGTGCATTACAGCAACTCTGGTGATTTACATACCTTCAGTCATAAATACATGTAGATAGGTATTTGGAAGACTCCGTTAGATTTTGAAATTTTTAATTCAAAAGTATAGAATTTAAGTTTGAAAGATTAAACGGCAGCATATTATTTGCTTGTGAATTAAAAAATAAATCCAAACATATACATCTTTGGATGATAATTGTAGCATTTTATCAATTCCTGGACTTCGGTCTTGATATCATCCTTTAATGTCCTTAAAATTTTAATGACTGTCTTTTAGTTTTAGTTGAATTAGTTTCTTTTCTACATGTGAAAATTACATCATCCAAAGAAGTTCTTCATCTGCATGTTATATGAAGAAGACAATTTTCATTACAGTGAAAGAGATTGTTTTGTTAAACATATTGCATTGATGCACAAATATACTTTTAGATTTTTAATTGCTAGGGTTCATATTTCTTAATATGGAATGCTAAGTACTGTTGATTTCAATTTTTTGTGAACAAAGACATACTAGTAGAAAAAAAATGTACATGATGTGTTAGAAAAGCATGTGTAAACCTGATGACTTTATATTTGCTGATTAATTCAATTATGAGTTTCATCTTTGTTTCAATGTAAACATTTCTATGTAGGGCACACATCAGAAACTCTTAAAATTCTGACTATCAGGGTTTAACACAACAATTCCAAATGATTTTTGGACGCTTTTTATGTATCGAAAAAAAAAAAAAGACAAAACAGAATGTTTCTTAACAGATGTTTCATTGGAAAACAACCACAAAGAAATGATTTGATATGTTCTTTATGTGATTCATATAAAATGTATTTTGAAATTGTACCCTAACATTTATCTTTTGCATAAATACATTTTTTGTGGAGAATTTCTCATAACTTTGAAAAAATAGTCTTATTGTATAATATGGTTAACTTAAAATTTTGTAGACTTAAAAGTTGTAAATGATGTGTTATATACATCTTACATATGTAACCATTTCATTTAGGGGCATTCAGCATACATTGTGGTTTTGTCTTAAATTTGTTTGTTCATGTAATAAATAATTTGAGAATACTCAACTCAAATTAGGTAATGCATGAGAGAATAGGCAAGAAAATCAGGTTTAAGAAATGATTTTTACTATTTATAAGGGGTTAATCTATATATTGAATCTATAAGTACATTTAGTCTATACACTTAAAGTATTTGTTTATGAAATAAACTTGCATTTGAGCATTTTAAGACAATTGTAAAAATTACTTTAACCAGTTTAAAAAAATGATTAGATTCACTGTTACCATGTAATTCCTTGTAAAATAAATGAGACAAAAAACAATTTTATTTGAGTCGGTTTTTTTTTTAATGTAAATAAGAAGCATTGGAAGTTGGGAATATTTCACAAAGTTGATTGAGCATAATTCTCACTAGGACCGTAGGAGTATAATGATTTAAGCATTAAAGAAACCATTTCATATTTCAATATACAAACCATGTTTAGTCATGCAGTATATAGTTTACACTTGCCAAAAAAAATAAATGGTGTCTCTATTCAGGGTCAATCCAAAGGTCAAAAAGGAATGAAAAAAAAAATTCTCTTCATGTATCAAACATGTAGGTATTATTGCAATAAATTCACTGTATTCATTTTTTGTCCTCTTTCTATGTATGAAAAGCTCTGATTTAGGCAATCAAAATACAAAAAGCCAATGAGGTATGTCAAATGATGAAGGTATACACCATAAATTAACATGGACAGAGAATTCTGAGTTTCCCTCAAATATGGCCGCCAAGTGACGTGAAATAAAAACAAAACGTGGATTTATCTATTAGGATTGAGACTTGTACATATTATGAATGATGGGTACTATGACATTAAGAATGACATGAAAGAAATAAGTTTGATTCAATTATATAAACAGTTCTTAATCCATACAGTCAAAATGGAGGGCATATATTTTTCTTTATAGGCATAAAGTAACAAACACTTACCCAATCCATCAAAATTTTACTTTTTGAAGAAAAGGAACCCTACTTACTTTGTTGAGTTGACATTCAAATTTTTTGTTTGACAGATAGACTAATGGTTTCTGACTAGTATAATGAGAACTTTTTATTTAAGAGTCATCAGATTGTTCTGATATTTTGGTTAAGATATCTGCATGACATCAATTAATTTGTTCATACAAAGGCGATAAAAGCTTTTCCAGGTTTCCTCTTTACTCAGATTAGATTGTGTCTTGCTAATATATCCAACATATAAGATACTCATCAAAGTCAAACAAAGGTAAATAAATGACCTTATTAAGTTTTTAGTCAAAAGGTCAAAGAGATGTGGAAATCTTGTTTAATTGGACAATTGTTTAGTTAATATTCATCAAACTTCATAAATGGGTTAATTAAACTCTCTAAAATAAAGTAGCACATTCAGTGACATATTGTAGAAAGAGTAGGAGATTTTATAATTACCTAATTCCTTACAAATAAAGAATATCACTATGAGATCCTTATAATGAAGTTTTACTGTAGCAGGAATACATTGACCTTTAACCTGAAAAGTCAATAGAGGTGTTAAGATATTCATGGACAACAATGGTATAGCAAAAAAATTGTACTGATCTTTGACCTGAAAATCAAAATATATGAAGTTTGTTTAATGAACCTATCCATGAAGTTTAATGAATAATATTAAATAAGGGTGTGCTTATATGAATGTAAGTTAGAGACAACAGATCACATAAGTATTACACAGTAATTAAATTAACCATATAATCATGCTTAAATGCAAAGATGACCTTCATAGGAAATTTAAACAATCTAAAAAACAAGACAAACTTACCAGAATTTTTCAATTATATGCCCAATTAAATAATCCAGTGAAATAACATCTCAGCTGATCCTGAAAATATCATACAATTCAGTGATACACATTTAACCTCATTTTATAATGTAAGTAAAGCAATAATTTACAGACAAAAGGGAAAAAAATGTAAAAGATGGCATGTATTTTACCAAATTCTAGTGAACATTTTTCTGATTTAAATTCAATATCATGGAATGATCCATCATAGAAATATTAAATGCACTCTGAGTTACATGCAGGTTATACATGTACAACTGTAAATCACATGAAATGAGGATAAATACAGTACATTGACATTCAAAACAGAACTTTACATAATTATGATTAAATGCAAAGATGACCTTCATAGGAAATGTAAACAAAACAAAGACAAACTTACCAGAATTATCCAAATATATGCCCAATAAGTCTATCCATTAGATAATTCAGTGAAATAACATCTCAGCTGATCCTGAAAAAAAATTCATACAATTCAGTGATACACAATTAACCTCATTTTACAAAGGAAGTAAAGCAACAATTGACAGACAAACAGGACAGAAAAACATGTTTAAATGTAATGCAAAATAATATCTCTTATATATGGATACCTATACTCTAATCAATCATATTAAATGTCATTCGTAAAATGTATTTTTTTTAAAGACAGATTTATTTAGGATCGACTTTTTATATGATAACATGAATAGCACGCCATACTTTAACCACATGTTAAAACATTCTCTCAAATTACACAGAAATGGGTTATTTAGCATAGCTGACATTAAACATATAGGTGAGCGATAACATAATCACAATCATAAACAATGTGAAACAACTTTAAAAGACCTACAGGGTAAATTACAAGCCTTTTTCACTGGGGTAAAATCTTGCCGAAATTCGCCATGGCCGCCCGAAACCCCGAACCCGACTGTATAAAAGATGAAGTCATACAATAACATAACACTGATGTAGTATTACATGATTTTTTTTATTTTATTTCTTAAAAACTATAAGGGGAGTTTACCAAAAAAAAAATTAATACGAAAACAAAAATTTAAGTTATTTTAAAAAAGTTAAAAAAAAAATTATAATTTTTTAAAAAAAGTTTAAAAAATTTAAAAAGAAATTCTAAGTTTTTAAAAAAAGTGACCTGGTGTTATAACTTGACAGACATAACACACACATGTTTTTTGTATTGTGTGTTATTTGTTATTGTCTTTCAGTAAAAAATTCAGTTCAAACCGGTTAGGCTGGCTAGACTATAGGCTGTCTAGACTGTAAATGAAAAAGTGTGACGTCATAATCACATTGTATTAAATAAATACAGTGAATGACGTCACAATGTATAGGTAAGTTTTTTGCACACGGCACTTTACAGAGGGTGCAAACAGGTATATAAGAAAACACAGGTAAAAGGTATATTTCTTTTGCACACGACCCTTATGTTTTTGCACACGGCACTTTATAGAGGATGCAAACAGGTATATAAGAAAACGTAGGTAAAACGTATATTTCTTTTGCACACGGCCCCTAAAATAAAATCCATGCTATATAAACCAGAGCTGGACATGAAGGATCATTCTGTATGAGTACTTGGAAGTGAACACAGGTAAAAAAAAAGTTTCAGTGATCAAGTCAGAGGTATGGAAACAAGGTATCGCTGGTTTATTGAGGATTATACTGACAAGAGTGGATCTTGGATGAAAACTAAACTGGGAGTGGCCATGGATTACTTTGAAAATCATCCAGGACAATTCATGAAGGATTTCAGGAAAGAATCATTGGCTAACCAGGGATTTCTTGTAAAAATCTTTCCAGAAAAAATAGTGTGGCTGGAAAAAAGAGTGAAAATCCCATGCCGCCTAACAGGATCTAGAGTGAGGGTGAAAACAAAGCATCATTATCAGCAATACAATTGGGAGATCCAAAATGATCTTGGAACTCTGGATAAAGGTATCTGGTACATGAATTTAGAAGAGTGCATTGAAGATTTAATGAGGACCAAGAAAGAAGAAAATTATACACAGTATCTATTTTGTCGCATCCCCTTTACCCAGATTAAAGAAATGATGGAACAGTAAGGACATGGGGGTGTTAAACTGAGTGATTGAGGATAGATCATCATCATCAGAAGAAGAGATGTAAAAAATTGAATAAAATCTGTGTTCTTTGTTTTGTCTTTTGTTAGTGTTTTGAGGAAATCCAGTTCAAACCGGTTATAGGGTCTAGTCTAGACTGTGAATGAATGCGTGACGTC